GGTTTAGGGATGTAGGGATTTAGGGGCTAGGGGTTGAGGGGTTTAGGCTAGGTTTAGAGGCGTTTGGAAGGTGAAGTCTAAACTTAAATGTGTTAACAAGCGTGTTACATGATTCTGCACGACTTTCGTCGCACTCGCAGAGAGCGCCATGCCACAAAGCACTGGCACTGACACAAAAGGCATCTTCACACAGTATAGGTTTCGGGTTTAGCGAAGCACGCTTAGGAGTGAGGGTTTAGGGTTTAGGGTTTAGGATTTAGGGTTCAGGGTTCAGGGTTTAGAGTTTAGGGTTTGTGGTTTAGGGATTAGGGTATAGGGTGAGGGTTTGAGAGTTTGGGGTTTAGGGTTTTCCAGGCTTCGGGGGGCGGGCTTTGGCTGGTTCGCATTGAGGCTTCTATAAAGGTGGTTCTCTAAATAAGGGTCCTTTTTAGGGTCCTCATTATAAGGGTGTCGTACTATACTGGGGGCCCCAAGAAAGACCCTAATATAGAGAGCTACCCATAAACGCTTCAGAAGTGGGCCTAGGCCGAGAGTCTGGGCTGTAGTGGGTTCTAATATATTGGCCTGGTAGGTTGAAGGCCATTGGGGTTTGGGGTTTAGGGTTTGGGGTTTAGGGTTTGGGGTTTAGGGTTTGGGGCTTTGGGTTTAGGGTTTAGGGATATGGACACAGCCATCGGGGGTCCTTGCAGCGATTCAGCTTGGGAATTCGGGGTGCGTCGGTGAGACGGGCGACAGCTGTGTGTCAGCACCGCCGACCACGCGGTTGAAAGCCTGCGCCTGTGTCGGCGCCGGTGTCGGCGTCGCCGGTGTCGGCTCCGCCGGTGTCGGCGCCGGGCAAGCTCCAACCTTCATTTTTGCAGCTGCTGCCAGCACGAGCACGATGCAGCCGGCGACGATGCACGCGACACGCGAGGTTGATGCGCGCAGGTCCGTCACCCCGTCAGCAAAAGTCGATGTGAAGTTCGGCATCGCTTGTGCACATGGAACGACGTGAACCTGGAAGTGGCCTGCTTTGTCGGAGAAAGCTGAGTGTTGACGGTGGTTTAGGGTTTAGGGTTCAGCAGCTCCGGATCGGGCAGTTTTTAGTCGAGCTCAACTCCGGAAGTCATCCCACCCACCCAAGATTCCCATATCATTAGGAAACCATTCTACTTCTAGTAAGCCTTAATGCTGAAATCCTAAACCCTACCCCAAATCCCTGGTCCTACCTCAGCGAAGAAAAAACCATATTCAACGAATGGGCCGGCCTGGGCCAGCCAAAAAAAAAATATTCTACGAATGCCGGCCTGGGCAGCCAAAAAGGCCTAAACCCTAAACCCTAAGCCCCTAAACCCTAAACCCTAAACCCTAACAGCCCTAATCCCAACACCTCAAAGCCTTCCTAAACAAGCTAGGCTGCCCTAAACCCTTAGACCCCAGAACCCCTAAAGCCCATAAACCCTGAACCCTAAATCCTAAACTCCGAAAGCCCCAAACCGCAAAATCCCTTCTCTTCTGATTTCCGGTTCGGGGGGCAAACTCCGCGAGATGTCATAGACGCAGGCATTGTGAGGGCCAGTAAACTCACCAGCCCACTCCTGAGAGCTTTGGGGGACCCACGGCTTAGGGTTTAGGGGTGGGAAGGGATTTAAGGGTTTGGGGTTAAGGGTTTACGGGTTTGGGGTTTAGGGGTTCAGGGTTTAAGGGTTTAGGGTTTATAGTTTACGGGGTTTAAAGGTTTAGGGTTTAGGGTAAAAAGGGTCAGGGTTTAGGGGTTAAGGGTCTCCAATAAGTATGATTTAAGGCAGTACGCAAGGGTTTCTCAGAAGGTTCCACACCCTAAACCCCCAACACTGTTTGATGCAGGGGCCCGCAATAATTAGAATAGGGTTTTGGGGCCCAGTATGCCACAATTATAACAAGGAACCCCCAAATTGATATAGGTGACTATTCAGGCCCCTAACACAGGGCCTTCGTAAGTTCAGTTCCTGAAAGCAACTGTCCTTTCTATACGGGGGGGGCTCCTATAACTGGGTTCTATAATAGGGTTCCTTTGAGGGCTCCATAATAATATAGGTGCCTTAATAATTAGAATAGGGCTTTGAGGCCCATTATACTAAAACTTTAACAAGGAATTCCAAAAATACTACAGGTAATCATCTTCGCCCCTGCACTAGGATTCTGCAATCTGGCTCCTTTAAGTGTGCCAGAATAAGGAAACCCTAAACCCTAAACCCTAAACCCCAAATCCCTAACTCCCTTAATATACCTAGATAATTACTCATACTCTTCTGGGGGTTCCTTGTTATCTATCATGGGGTTCCCCAACCGTGGATCGGATCAGAGACTCCAAAGCCGAGGCGTTGGGTTTCGGCTTTGGGGCGCTAGGGTTAGGGGTTTAGGGGCTCAGGTGTGTAGGGATTTAGGCGGTTCAGGGGCGTAGGGATTAAGGGTCAAGGGTTTCGGGCTTAAGGTTTAGCGGTTTAGGGGTTGGCTGGGATTTAGGGTCAAGGGCCTAAGGTTTAGCGGTTCAGGGTGCTGGGATTTAGGGTTAAGGGTTTAGGGTTTAAGGTTTAGCGGTTTAGGGCTGAAGGTTTAGGGGTTTAGGGTTAAGAGCCATCAACTAACTCTGCACCTTCAACCTGCAAGGGATGAAGTCATGGGCCAAGGGCCTAGCTTCGGAAGTCGCATCGATGACCAAATGCTTGGGGTTGTCGGTTTGAGGGCAATTCAAGGACATGGCCAAACCCTAAACCCTAAACCCCTAAACCCGCCGCAGCTAATGATTAGAATAGGGTTCCGGTATATATTCTACGAAGATCCAATAGAGTTGCAGTGAAGAACCCTACCCCTTCTGAAGGAATAATAGCCCTCTAACTTTTATTTCGGGATGTCCGGTAAACAGCATGGCATAATACTGCTTTAAATGCAAGCTCCTCGGCTGATGCGCTTAGGGCTTTTGGGCTTTCGTGGATTACCTGTGCTGCTAGGGAGGTGTTTCGATGCCCTACACGTGAGCTCGTGGTGTCGAAAGATGGGCTCCGAAAGAATGCTTGAAACTTCTCTAAGCCCTGAGTTCTCAATGCTGAGCTTCACTCAAAAACAGGTCAAACACTAAACGATCCACTCTCTCCGAAATGCCGGGAGATGCTTGGGAGGAGCTGCTGAAGGTATCAGCAGGGCGATGGGATAAACACGTCATGATCTTGCTGTGAACCCTCAACCCTAAACCCTCAACCCTTGCTGTGAACCCTCAACCCTAAACCCTAAACCCTAAATTTACATGGCTGGGAGTTCAGAGCTCGAGGAAGCAATACCAGAAGCCAGAAAGGTTTGAACATCATCCTCGTACGCTTACTCAGAATCATAGGAAAATCAGGCACTAAGCGTCGGTAATTCATGTTCCAACTTTCGAGCTTCCAGTAGATGTTCCCTCCAGTCGGTGGAACGGTGAGGGAAGAAGTCCCGTGAATTTTGCGTCCACGTCACCTTGTCATCGATGTGCTGCATGAACTGCTTGAAGAAGGAAACCTTCCTCAGATCCCCCACGGTCGAGGGTTGAGGGTTGAGGGGCTTAGGGGTTTAGGGGTTTAGGGGGTTCAGGGTTTAGGGTTTAGGGTTTAGGGTTTAGGTGGGATCCCCATACCACCTAACTATGCCACATGCCTTGTTCATGAAGGATCGGGCACGTGAGTCACCTGTGGGTTAGAAGGGAGTCTACAGGCTACCGATGATGAGTAGCCTACTGCCTCTATCCCTATAAGGGCTCTTGGAACTGGCGTCACCCGAAAAAAAAACGTCAGACCAAAGCCCCTCAAACTCTACATCCTGGAACCCTGGCACCCTAAACGCAAAGTCCTCTACCCTAAACCCTAAACCCTAAACCCTAAACCCTAAACCCCAAACCCTAAACAAGTCCTCTACCCTAAACCCTAAACCCTCTAAGCCCTGGAACCTCAAAAAAACACATATTCTCCAAAG